TCGGACTGTTCTTTGGTCAAAGTCACATCTGACAAATTGTGAATGTATTCTTCAGGATTGTTGGGAAACTTGGCACAAGCTGCTGGTTCATTCAGTGAGGAAATCAAGAATAAGCGCTTCTTCTCAATTCTACCTTTGATTACATTGGATGTATATGTGACGAAATGATTCCTCATACGCTCGGATAAATTGTCCAGTGCAGATTCTCTCTGTATTACGTTTCTAATAGGATTACCGTCGTTCCGTGTGCCTGTGTGCTATTTGTACATCTATCAGTCCACCAATCATTACGGGTTTTACGAGTGTGAATTAATATTTGTCCAACTCAGTGTGTCGGTTGAACGAATTGACCGAGTGCAGAGCTTCGTTCCCTATACTTAGCTCGCGCCACAACCTTTGCGTTATCGATCGCGATCTCGTGACCTGTCCGTGTGCAGTGGTTCCAGATTTGTGACCACAGATCAGTATTCGCGGAGGCGTGTGTAGTTGTTTGCCTGTCTCACCTATGTAGTGTTGGTTACAGCCCAGACACGGGATTGCGTAGATTACTCCTGATCGTTCGTGCTATTCGGCTCGATTCTTGACGTTGAAAAGAAACGATCGCACGGTTGATTTAGGTTGATTTATGGGCGATCTTGAATCCCAACGGTTGGAGTATTCATTCGGTGGCTCCTGACGTGCCGCATATGTAAGGTTTTGTTCCATTTGTATGTGTTGTTTATTTTTTACCTCTAAGGCAGGCGTTGATAAAACTCATGGGATATGCGCTTGATAAGAACAATTGAAAGAGTCGACTTCTTTCTCTTGTCCTTAGCTCCGGTGTGCTGCAATGTGTGTTTGCTTGACGGAATAGAGTTCGGACACAACTTTTTAGGTGGCACAGAGGATGATTGCTGTTGTAATTGAGGATGCGATCCGTCGTGGTCGGTTTTCGGCAGATCGTAGTTTCTATTCGTCCGTCAGGTTTCCTTATGGGAAGTATGTCGAGGTCGGAGAATTGTCCACTTTTTTCTTTCTCTCGGGTGAAGTCGATACACCAGACACCTGCCCGTTGATTATTTGGTGGAACTGATCTACGGTGGAGGTTCTAAGTATGACGAATGTGTCATCCACATACCGTATTCACATAGGGGGTTGTAGAATTTCAAAGGCTTTGGCTTCGAAATGTTTCATAACCGCATCCGCAAGCAGTCCTGAGAGTGGCGAACCCATTGGAGTTCCTCGTATCTGCTGGTATACCTTCCCGTCATTAGGACAGTCCTAATGAACTTCACGATTGATCTCTGACCAGATCCCTTGTGATTAACATCATTAAGTCCCATTTAGTCTTAAAACCGGCCCCCGTTATCTTTCATTAGTTAATAATCTCCCTCAGCTTAGAGTTAACAATCAAGCATTCCCAAGTCTGTATCTGTTAAATACCTTGGTATCACCCTAACCCATGACCTGTCCTGGTCTGCTCATGTCATCAAAGTTTCAACAAAAGTTCGAAAACTGTTTTTTTATGCTTACAGGTTCACGAAACTGGCCGTACCACAAAATCTAATTTTTAAATTTCGATTGCCTGCATGCGTCCACATTGGCTACACTGCTGCCCGATTTTCATCCCGTCTGAAAGAAAAAGAACTTTATTTTAAGATCCCTTAAACGTTTGTCCCGCTACAGTAGAGTTTATAGAGTTGCTTTAGTTTATTTCTTTATTTCCAAGCATCTTGACGCTTTGGATACATTCATAGACAGGATAACACGTGATCCTTTATTGGGGCCAAACAACTATCGTTGCTATTGAGGTACTCTCTCCATAGTGCTCAGACCTGTCGTGTATGTTCTCCAGTTCCAGGTGGCAGACTGTCTGATCTGGAGCACGCAGACGACATTAAGCTGCTAAGTTAAGATCCAGGTAAGTTGCAAGCTTTTCTGTGTAGCTTGAGCGCCAGCGTAGACATGTTCGGTGTACGTTTCGCACATTCAAAGTGTAAAATCTTACTACAAGACTGAATTGACCCAGCACCCAGCCTCACTCTAACTGGGGAATTAATATAGCAAGTGGATAAGCTTTGTTACTTGGGTGGCTAAATCTCACCAGGTGAACCCATCACAGATGAAGTGTCAGCTCGCATACAGAAAGCTCGGTTGGCATTTGCTAACTTGGGATATCTGCGGCCCCGTCGCTACATGCGGTTGTCTGTGAGGGATCGAGTGTATGCCGCGACAGTTCTGCTATGCAGAGCAGAAACTTGACCATTAAAGAAGTAGGATAAAGATAGACTGTCGGTATTTGAACACCGCTGTCTACGCAGTATTGCACGAATCTGGTGGGGCAGCCGGACGAGCAATGCTGAGGCTAGGCGTAGAGTTTTAGGTAGTTGGGGTCGTCCATTGGAGCAAGTGATCGACCTCCATAGACTACGTTGATGTTTTGCGCATATCACCAGATAGGTTACCAAGGCAAGAGATCTTTACCGAGGCAGGTAGTGGGTAGAGAAGAGCCGAGAGCAGTCAACCTAAGACCTGGCACGAAAATAGGAAAACCCTAACTAGAGTACTGAGTCCCGTTAGGCTCCGTGGTTGAGGACCTCGGGATGATCGTAACCGATGGTAAGAGACACAGTGATATGGCTGTGTCGTAAACAGTGGCGTTCGTGCATCTCCTCAATCTCTTTGCAACCTCAGACCACTGAACTTCTCCATTTTCTGCTCGACTCTACTTTCAACATTTCTGTCCTTCTCCTACTGTTCATCCAAATAGGCAGCCGAAGGCAGCAACCAAAACCAGTGCATGAAGGTGCATCGTTAACGGTTGTATAAACTGAAACTGATGTAACGACCTTGGCAACTTGCCATTCCGATTGAGTGTGTCGTGTTCATGTCTCACTGGACCTTTTGGCTCACGGTGTCTGCATTTTCCCCTCTTTGAGATTGTCAGGCAAACCCCTCTCCACGGAGAACAACCTGTATATCGACGGTTCCAACCCACACCTAGATTCGGCCCTCTTTCGGTTGTCTGGTTTATTCGTTCACGGGGGACATCCTGCCGCACACACGAGCCAAGCATCTCACACTGAAACTGATGTTCTCCAGGGCTATGCGATATCACACACGCAGTCCATTGCTGTCCATTTTGTGTCCTCGACTCATAATTTCTCTGTGTCGCATTGTGTTATGTATTGCACACAATACAGGTGCCCTCGGTGGGGGTTATTGTGGTTAGATGATTCACGTGAAAGAAAATGTGCTTTGCAAAAATAGGATCCGGTCTTATATTCGTTTTCTTTGTGCTCAGACATTAGCGTTCATATAACAAAGCGGAAACTTTTGTCCGCAAACCAATGACCACCATATGACCCCGCTTTAAATGCATCAGTCATCATGAAAACACACACACGTATTCACATCTTTCATCGAGTACACAACATAACAGATGCCTGTAGAACCGGTGCCGTCAACTCAACATTCTGCCCAATCCATGATGGTAAACGTCCCTCGGGTCAGTTGGGCCGTATGACGAAACAAAGTGAACCATTAAGTACATAAATTCTGTCAACAGTCAAAGAGGACGGGCACATGTGAATCCCTTAAGCCCCCAGGCAACCGACTGCGATAATGTACGAAAGAAAAAAAGTCTGACGATAACAAAGGTTGTGCCAATCGGCAACATTTGCGATCCGTTCCATCTGCTTATATCTATAGAACTGTGGGAACCAAGTGAGTGGTGTCCGTAAAGTGTACCGCAGTGTACACAGTTTCAAGTCGCAGTGGTAGGTTGATAGGATGAAACTCGACTGATCACACCACCAGCATTGGATCAGACAACTGTTGTCCCAAACACATTACCAAACGCAGAAACGAATGATCCATCCGAAACAGAGATCATATAGGGGGGATAAGCTATCTCGCAGATTAAAAGTCCTCTAGACCAGGTAAATCCGGTTTATCTATACGATGGCTAAGCAAAAGGTTTCCGGATAAGCAGTACATATTTGAGGTACAGATGACCGGGGGCAAGGAAACTGTTAACTTTAGGCTACTATTGTGATTGTGCGATCTCAACTCACACAGAACCAAATATCAGCACAGCCGAGAATATCTCACAAATCATACAAGGGTCGCTATAATCGGACTGTAAGGATAGAACTCAGTCGATGTCACTAGAGGGCGATGATTTTCTACGACTGCAAATGTGGTTTAAAGCGGTAGCAGCAGTGTTGATCGTTTGTAAACTGCTTTTGGTTCCTGACACGCCTTCCAGTAGCACTGTGTTTGAGTGATTTGCGGAATTCACGTGTGGCAAGCGGACCCTGGATGATGTGACACGGTGTGGTCGACCTGCGGAAGCCACCAAAACGAACAACATTGCTTCTGCGCAAGCAATATTAGCGGCGTATGTGCGGGTGACAGTGAAACAGCTGGCGAAAGCCAGGTCAGTCTCAAAAAGGTTTGCGCATGATGGGTACTCATCAACTCAGTAAGGAACAGAAAACAGTTCGGATGAATTGGTTCCGCACCATACTTGCCAGGTTTGATGGTGGACGTTTGAATGCAGTTTGGAAGATCATCAATCGTGATGAGACCTGGGTGTACAGTTTCGACCCAGAGACCAAGCAGCAATCGGCTCAGTGGGCGCCGGTTTATGGAGTGCCGCCTTACAGAATCCGACGCGAGCGCAGCGTGATAACACAGATGCTGGCTGTGTTCATGACTAAAAACGGTCACGTGGCCACTGTGCCGCCCGTACAGCAACGCACAATCACCAGAGACTGGTGGGCTACCCAGTGTTTGCCGAAAGTGCCGGAACTGTCGCCAGGCGCGGTCCAAGGACTCTAGCAGCAGAGAACTTGCTGCACCATGACAACCCACTTGGACACAGGTCCCATATCGTCGATGATCTTCTGGCTAGAGAAGGTTGGTCACCCACCTTCACCTTACGTCAAAAATCGCTCTTATTCATCCTAGTGGATGGATTCCCAGCTTCTTGCACACCAGGATCATTTAGGATCGCAATTGGTCACAAAGAAAAAGTGAAAAACAGCATCATAAATTCAAAAGAATGTGACGTAAAAGTTTGAAAATGGGTATCAACTGCGCAGGAAATTCAAAGCGTTTTTTCTAGCGAACATCTTTTGAGCCAGAAATGTCGAAAGATATGGGATAACGGACAAACGGTAGACAGTGGTACGAGCATACACAAGTTTATAACATCTAGTGACAGAAGTGGATAAGCATTTTTAAATTTCTGTATGCAATGGGTGAGTGATGTGTGGTAGAATATTGTTGCAGAAGTTTTCGCAACAGATAAAATGTTTGTCGGCGATAAAGTTAAGCAAGTGCAAATAGGCAGTACCGCTTGAGCGAGGAATAATTTTAGCAGAATGGTGTAGAATTGTGTAATCTTTAACTCTACGACGAGCAAATAAAACTGAGGAGCAGTAAAGAAGATGATTACCAACGCAAGAATATACAAATCGAGTAAGTAAAGACAGAACTTTTAAAGAACGCAAGCGGGAAATAAAGAAACACAATCGTCAAATCTTTTTAAAAGTAGAATTTAAATGTGAAGTCCAGGTAAGACCTTAGGAGATAGTGACACCGAAGTATTGCAGAGAATGTACTGGGGGAACATGCTGGTTGTCAACATAGAGTACAGAGCAATTAATTTCAAAAGAATGTAGCCGTTCGCCTTTGGTTAGCGAAAAGGTAACATACCTACATTTAGAGGTATTGAAAGATAACTTGAAAGACGAAGACCATAATCCCGAGGTAGATAAACTGGTTTGAAGCTATGAGAGGTGGAAATCACCTTGGAATTTGGAATTTATGGTGACATCATCAGCATACTTAATGAGAAGCCATGAAATTAAGATCTAGTTTCGTGTGACTTTTTTCTTCCGAAATGCCAAGAGCATGATGTGTGGAATTCAATACGAGTCACCAACACCTACAATAGAGGCCTTCATGGAACTGGTCGATGAGTTATCCCCCTCGGCATGATCGAGCTGGTTCACCAAATGGTTGGAGCGCATGGACGCTATTACAGAATACTTCAAGAAAATGTGATGCTTATTTTGTGTAACAGATAAAACTTCTTGTGCATCCGGAAACGTTTGATCAGCCATCGTTGTCATATATTTTCACACATATTTGAGTTCACAGAGTCTTCAGCTAGCCAAAGCCTGACCCACAAGGCAGTAGGGCAATCCGGCTTCTAACAATTAATCCGTGTAGTGTATAAACTTCTTCAGTGAGGTTTGGTTGTGCATACATGTTGCTGAGCATTGGAATAAAGTGACAGATTCTTTTCGGAAAATTCATGACCAATTAGGTTTTTTCCTTTTATTGAGTATACGAAGATACAACTTTCAGGAAGGGTGAAGCGGCCAATCAAAGGGCTGCTATACAGCACACACAAATGGGGAAAGTCAGGCAGGCAAATGTGGTGGTGGAATTCAAGCATTCGTCCTCCGGGGTGATAATTGATGAAGTTACCACCGGACCACCACCGCCCACTTCACTTTGTGGAATTAACCTCCGAACAGCCCCAATGCACAAGCAAACAGAGTCTAATTCTTGAACATAGACAACCAAGCCGAATCGTTAATGGCAATCATCAGATCTGCCCGGAATTCAATCCCACCACAGCAGTTGTCCATTTTTTCACAATTCTTCATGCCCCCGGTTGCGTTAGATTGAATGTGGCTTCCGGTCTGCACAGAAATTATAGAATTAAATAGTGAATAAACACAAGTGGAAGGAAAAAATTGTGTTCTAACTGCACAGGATTTAACTCGGTACCAAAAATTATCGTCTACCGGGAATGTTTTCTCGTCCAGAGAGGTACTCCACTGGTCTGTGAAATAGAACACAGCTGGATGCGTCCAGGAACTCATTTATTATGCAAAAATCATGCTTGTTTACAGAAAAGGGCGATGACAGGGATGCCTATATCAACCGATTGGTTGATTAGATTGCAGTCAACCATTTTGATGATTGGTTAGCGGTTCCGATCAATCAATCACCTGAGTTCGCCTTTCCTTGTTCGGATTGGTTGTGACAGAACAAAGCAGTTTGCAGGGAGCATGCTGACTCCCTAACATAGTGATCTCCGTTTATTTTGTTATTGTTCTGCTTCATTTCCCTAGGCCGATAAATCATGTTGATCGTTATTCGAATTATTCGTTCACTGTATGCAAACAGTCAAAGTTGAGTTTGAGCCGATAGCTTCCTCATATGTAGAATTAGGGAAAGTGAAGTGGCGATAGTTGAAGGTCATCCTAGCCATTTGTGGTCAACGCTCTCTGAATAAAAAGGCTATGTTCAAACGAGGATAGAGCAGTTTATCGGTTGTGCTACGGTAATTCGTTTCATCCAACTCATGCAGTCCAATTGTGGATAATTAGTGAATCAGTTCAGCTGAGGGACGTGAGGTTCAGTGCATATTCGAAAAGTACGTTGGCCACGTTTTACTTGCAGTTTGGACGGTCAAAGTCTCCAACAATGTTACAGGTTTGCGCTGACTCCGTTCAAACGAAAAACGGAAAGGAGGCGATTCATTGGTTACCTAGGAACGAAAGGTCTCCTCGTGGGAGAACCAGGAAAGATATCAGGATCGATGCGGTGGCCTTAATGTACCACCAAGACATGTGGCTTTTGGTGAACGATCCAGCGTACTCAGTAGCCATTCAAACAATGAAATTATTCGTACGTGCAATTTTTTTCGCATTAGTCGACTAGATGTTATCAAATGACAACTGGAAATCGGAAGCACAAAAAAGCAACACGCACACGTCGGTTGCTTTGGGGTCGATTACTGACCATCTCATTGCCGTGAAAACATAAACAGAGTGTGCTAACTTCAATTGGAATAACTTGATTGACTACGTGAGTTCCCGATTCCGTTATATTTTCAAACTAGAAGACGACGTTCTCATTTGTATCAAAGTGATTAGGATTCTCATGATAAGTCTATCACTGGATCCCATTATATATCGGTCCATGCGTGATTGTATTGTCAATTTGTGCGCCACTTTAATGGCTTTCACTCAAATCCTCATGCGCACAAGTTAATTCATTTGACCAAACCAATCTTCAATAGACTGTCAACAGGTGATTGAAACAAACACATATCCATGGAAGAAAGTTTCCCAAAAGAAAAGCTCGAAGAACGTACTCGGTTGACCCTTCACCTCCTCCCGTTCTCCGACCTGTCTCTCGGTCTGTAAACACTGAATTCGGTAGAAAAACAAAACAAAAACAGCACCAAAAATATCATTTGCTTCAACATGATGATTGTCTTCCATGAAAACCAGATACAGATTATCATGTGTTCAGTGCACGATATTGAAGACACACAGACAGAGGGAGAGTGAAGCTCGGGGTGGGGGGGGAGTAGAGAGAAAAAATAAGATTTGTGGGGCGAGAAAGAAAAAAACAGACGAGGAAATTGTTTAC